CAGCGATTCTTCAATAATATATGCTTCAGGTTTTTTAATTAACTACAAATAGATATATAACACATTAAAAAAAAAAAATAAAAAATTATAGTAATTATATGTGTAATTATATGTGTAATTATATAAATGTGATTGCTTCGCAAGGACGTCCAGACCGAGGTGCATCTTCAATCCTTGATTGTTCAGCATTGAATAATTCAATCCACTGATAAATAGTAGCTTTTGATAGTGCTTTATCTCCTTCACATTAACCACTCATCGTGAATTTCCGTTGCGCTTTTGCATTTTTCCAACAAACCCAAATATAGTATTGTCTATAAAGGTAAAATTCAAAGATCATAACTTCATAATTGTCAAATTTATATAAGTTAAATTTTTTATTATTAATACAATATTAGGACATACAAAATTAAAAATGACCCGGCCGGCTTTTTTTTAAAAAAAAATTTTACATATAAAATTTTATAAAAAAAAATTTTTGAACCCCACCCGACTATTATAAAACATATAAAAAAATTTTCTTCTAAGTTTCCAAAATTTGACCCGGCCGAGTTATGAGAAACAATAATTAAATCTGTATGGCCTTAAGTAAAGATTTTAAAGATTTTATAACATTTTTCCAAATTTGGTTAGAGTAGTTATTAAAATAATGACGCAGTTTCAAAACTTTTTGAACATCCCACGTATTTTTTTTCGAACGATTACAACCGTACAATCAGCAAAACTAAGACAATGGCGAGAAATATTCCCTTTATTTCCCAAAACGAGGACGTCAACATGATGTTCCCTGATGAAATCAACAATAAAATTCGGCAGATCGGTACTAGAGTTAAAGTGTAATTCCAGAGGAAGCTGGTAAAAAAGTATAGAGTATATAATTGAAATAAATTTTGTATAAAAAACGAACAAGTTCTACGAGTCAGACACTGACCTCTATTTTTTTAGTTGCAAGATAATCCTCAACCAATTTTTTTCCACTATTTACAATGTTTTCTGCTTCTTGTTCTACCTAACAAATTCCCGGTATAAATTCCTTTATTATTCAATTAAATCAATTAAGTCGAAGTATAAAATCATGCCTGTTTTTTTTTTTGTTGCTTCTCATTCTCTCCGTTCAGGATGTTTCCTAAAATTTATATTATATGTACACGGATTAAATCATCACAATAAATTTGTTCCAATCACTTACGTGTAACCGCAGAATATTCAAACGGTACGCTCCAAGATAAGATGCCAATGCTTAATAATAATAATACACCATCATTCAGATCAATCAGATTTTCAAGAGCCCATGAAAGAGCGTAGTTAGAGTTTTCTGAACCATCGAGTGCTACTAAATATTTTTTTCCCATTTCTTTTTTTTAAAAAGGTACGTACAGCAAGTAATGTTCGTTATATATTTGTAATAGACCGTTAGTGATCGGCAAATTTATATATGATTTCTTAATTAGGACAAATGGATTTTATATAACATCCGACATTTTAAACACATGTGAAGGTCAGCATGAAATAAAAAGACGCCATTGATTAATATTAATTCCGAAAAATAGAAATTCAATGCCAAGCCACAAAATGTCATGTGCGTGGGTGGTCTCTTTAATGTTCAACAACGTAATCTTGGTCTTTGTTATATCAATATTATCAACAAATTTGTATTGGTACCCATTCATCAAGCATGCAATACATTCTAGAAGCAATTTTCACAAAGGAATGAACTTGGATTTATATAATTCTGAAAAGTTAAAAGAAGTGATTTTGATCCAAATTTTCTCGGGTAAATCCAAATATTCTGGCATTTTCCAATATATCCAAATATTTGAAAATTTCCATGTAAATACAATTTTCACGAAGCGTAACTTGGATCACAAAAATATCGGTTCCGTGATCTCCAAGTTGGTTGATACCAATCAAATCGTAAGATTGGCATGTAACACGGCGAACACGCTCAAAGTTTTGCTTAATAAAAAAACTCTTTGGTATAGATATACTCTCTGCTTCCTTATATGTTGATTTAAAGTTTCAAAAAGCTTTGACGAAGTTTTTTTTTAAATCTAAGACAACTTTAATCTGTGATTTGATTGTTAGTTCCATGACAAAGCTACAAATTTATTGTCCAATATGATCTGATCCTGGTCCCAAAAATGGGTCATCTAAGGCCTGGCACCTCATAAAACTTAATCATTATTATATAGCTAATTATGATACATATATAAATACTATTTATCTCACAAATCTGCTATACGATAAATTAATCATTTTATGAATTTTGTAATTTCCGCAATAGCGATGTGTCGCTATCCCTGAAACTTAATGGTCACGTCGTATTGTGCCGGAGTTCCAATATTAACCTCCGCTTATGATTAGTAATCTATATTACTAATCATAAGCGGTGTTTGAATATTGAAACCCCGACATCACACGGTGCGACGATTAAGTTTTGGGGTTTTGACTTTCGTGATTTGGATTTTCAGAATTTTGACATAGACCCGGGTAGCGATACATCGCTATAGCGGTAAATTACTAGGGTGCGCCATATCATAATTAATCAAAACTATGTAAGGTCAATCAATAAATTAATAATAAAAAATTTAACTTATATAAATTTGACAATTATGAAGTTATGATCTTTG